CCCCCATTATTATCTTTATAGCAGCTACTCCTCATGTACCACCTCTCCCCCAGTAAATTGCTTTACTGCAATTACAAGTTATCACTACGGGTGAAGAACTTGAGTCATTATTTTGCCAAGTGCAGGAAATGTGAACCATTCTTTGCATCCCTTAATCACAATGAGTTTGCCGGTTGTTGAATCAAGAAGATAAAAATAATCCTCCCTGTTAGAATAGCTTTTGTAATCACGTGTGACACATAGGGCTGCATACAGAGAGGTCAGCGTAAGGCAGAATAAAAGGGACTGTGCTCCTCAAGATGCTGCAGTCAGGGCTGGTCGTGCCCCCTCTTCCCATCCTGTTCCCCCTGCCCTCTCTCCGGCTGTGCTTGACAGGGAACAGCTCTGCCAGCTTGGATGGCAACAAGCAGGTTTTGTCCCACAAATTAGGAGCAGGCGAGAGTGTTTGATGGGGAGTACGCTGGCATGAGTTCCCCTCCCACGGGCAGGGTTTGCATCATGCAGACCTGGAGCCTGATGCATTTTTTGGCTCCGCTGCTGCAGCCGACTGACCTCTCCCTGGAGCAGGTCGAGCGCTGCCGAGCCAGCGTCTGTGGATCAACGGCACTGACACAGCTCAGGGAGCTGCGGGTGATGTCAGCTGGATCCAGCTGGGGTGGATGAAATGGTTAAATGTCCTCAGAGACCTTGGGCACTACAGCCTTGGAAAGCCGTGCATCCCATCCCCGCCAAACACCGGGCTGCTCCGGTGCTCGGGGCTTCTGCGCTCCCACCGCGGCCGTGCCGGGCACAGGACTGTGCCGTCAACATGAGCTAATGCTGACACACAGTAAATATTAGCAGGCAGAACGGTGGGAATCAGAAGGAAAATATTTAACAGTTCATTCTCTTCCTACAAAGATTTCCATTTAGAAAGTTAACTCCAGTGTGTCTCTGCGCGGTATTTCTTTAGAACAAGGGAAAATCAAAATAAAATGGTCAGGTCTGTAATAGCCAAGGTAAGAACTGAGTTGCTAAGGCTTAAAAAAATTTCACATGAACTGGTTCCACACTCAGTAGTTCACTGCAAGTCGGACTGGTTCAGTTAGTGCTAACTGCAGCTTCACACTTGTGTCACGAGAAAAACCAAACTCAGTAATGCTGCCCTCCTGCTTGGTGCCTGTTTGCTCTGCTAGGAAGCAGTTGTCAGCTGAGCGAGTTCTAATACAAAACCCAAACCCACACCTAAGCCACAAAAAAAAAACCCACCCGAAAGCCCCAAATATAATTTTGCAAAATGAAAATAGGAAAAGGACATTTTATTTTTTCCAGGAGGTGTAATTCCAAATAGGGAATGGAAAGCTCCGTCCTCTCACAAGTCTGTCCATCTACAAAGTTTAAACCCAGATGTAAATGATGTTAAATTTCCCTTGGTGGAGTCAGGGTAATATCTATCAGAAAGCACAATATTTAAAAAAAAGCAGTAATTGCAAATAATGTAAATGTGGAGAATGTTTTGGAATAAGTGAGTGTGTTGTGCAATGTATAAAAATGTTAGTCATGGCTCTTCATATATTTGTTTGTGTCCCTGGCAGGCTTCAATGGCTGAGAACAGTATACCTCTATACACTACTGCTTCCATGGGAAATCCCACTCTGGGCAATTTAGCCAACGCGATGAGGGAAGAGCTTAACGGTGCAATGGAGCATACGAACAGTAACGGGAGTGACAGTAGTCCAGGACGTTCCCCTATGCAAGCAATGTAAGTACAGCAGGGATGGGCACGTGGCTCTGGGTGTGTGGCTCTGGAGGCCTTTGTGGCTGGTTCCTGAGGTTCATGGCTGGAGCAGCAAGAGAGACATCTCCATTTGGGGACGTACTTACGTTGACTAGAATACATAAGGGCTGTTTACCAACTTCCACATAAAACCCATCAGCTCAATCCAGTCTGACAAGCACGTAGAGCTATAAAATCGTTACTTGTTTGCGATTCTCTTCTTTAAACTTTGCAAAACCTCATAGGCAACTACTTTATAGGAGGGAAAAAAAAATGTGATTTCTCTGCCCTTTGGTCCACATGACCAGCATGGCTGGTGGGGCAGAGCTGGGAAATGGACTTGTTTGGTGGGTCCAACAAAACCCAAACCCCACTCGACGCACAACGGTCTTGCCAAGCATTAACGATTGCACACGTGAAGGTCTGCGTGATTTATAGATTGCTCTTAAAATATCAAAAGGAAAATTAATAGGAGCATTATAGCAACAGACGGCAGTATAATGAGTGCATATATAACTGCATGAAGTAATAGGGGATCGCTGGCCCTGCTCAACGTGAACGGCACCCGGGCAGCGAGCTGGCGCAGGAAAGGGTAAGGCAGGAAGGGTGTGATGCCCCGATGGGTGTGTTCAGTATTTATGGGGTGATGGAGTGAGTTTGCAAAGCTGTAAATTCCCCCCCTCCCCTCAAATTACATACTGGGTAATTGGTGGCTGGCAAGGCAACCTGAGTTTATAAGTCTTGTAGTTCTGTAAAAGCTCAGCGGAGCGGTTGGCTACCTGTGCGAGCGGCCGTGCGCGAGAGCCGCGCTGCCTTGCTCCTGCCTGTTTCTTAAAACGGGCTGTAAAATTCCTGGCTGACTTGCCACGGCTCACATTACGCATTAAAAAGAGAACTAATTTGTAGTCTTTTACTTCAAAGTAATTTGAATAAGGGATTTATAGAAGTGAGTCTAAATCAAAAAGTAGAAAAACATTAACCTAATACCACGATAGTAATTAGTTGTGAAACTAATTAGCATTTAATGGCAAAAAAAAAAAAGTTTCCCACCTGCATAATGTGTTGTCAGAGAGGAGGGGGCACGAAGGAATCTGAGGCTCTGGATACTTTGATATTGCGGCATTTGAAATCAGTGCACAAAGTGCTTTGAAAAAAATATTCTTTAAAGATGGCAACATTCATTTTTAATTAATAATTAATTTAAACATTGTCTTTTACCATTTACTTCAAAACATTCGAATAACGTGTTTAGCTTTTCCAGTGATTGTTTGTGCAGTATTAATTATCTCTCCCAAAGTAGCGTTCCATGACACACTTTCCCTCTCTCACAAACGGATTCATCTTCAGGCAGTTTTAGTCACAATTTGTTATCTTCTGCCCATGACCACGTAGGGCCGGCGTGAAGGGACACGTGGAGGGACCTGGTAGTATTTCTCCAGAAACAAGACTACTCCCAAGGGTTTTTCCTGGCCTAACAGACAGGGATGAACGTTTATGATGTTGCATTAATCCAAGTAATTATTTTTTTGCAAGTTCAAGGCTAGTGTAGTTCGTGCACTTCTCATTTCACCTAAGGTTTTGTTGTCTTTGAAGAGTCTGTGAGGAGGGAAAAATAACTGAGTTGAAACAGGCTAGGACATCTTCCAGAACTGTGTATAGCCGTGGACTTTGTTGCACTTAATAATCGTCTCTTAGCACATTGATACCAAGGTGAGGGGCACAGAACAAATACTGGAGAGAGAGGAGGATGGGGGGAGGGATGCCTCATTTTCATTATTCACCAGAAAATCCAATTTTCTGTTGTAATATGGAAATGATTGTTTCCTGAGTGTTTTCATTTTCTCAGAATTGATAATATATGTGTTCTCTGCTGAACATTTCTTTTTGCTTAAGTAAAATGTGTCTGACTGGATGATGTTCCAATACCAGCCTCTGAGCTTCTCCATTAAAACAGTGTTTCTAAGTAGTTTGAAGGGATCTAAAGCCAGAACACCATTCACACATTGCGGGGTTTGCCCTGTTTACTAAATAAAATCATGAGTCAACAGCAGATTTCCAGACCCCCTGCAACCTCTTATTTTCCATAAGCCTGCTTTGTTAATGACATTTTCAGTTTTTTTCTCAGAACAGATTTCCTTGTCATAATGCAAATTATTTTTTAAACAATTTCAGTATATTAGAATAAATCAAGCTTTAAACTTTATTGTAAGGTTTAAAGGACCTTGTTAACATGACAGCTAAGAAGTCTAACACTTTAGCTGAAGTCTTATTACCGCTCATTCGTTTCCTTTTTATGACACATTGAACCACGACTAGGTTTTTTTTTTCCCCCCCTCCCTTCTCTCTCCCTCCTTTTGAAACACTAGAAAGTACTCACATAATTACAGCTTGGGGACATAACACTTTCATCCTGATATGCTCTAAAGGTAGCCACAAAGCAAACTACTCCATGCTGTGTGCACCACCAGAACTCAGTGGCTTTAAACAACAGTCAGCTTTATTAAAAACTCCTCTGTTCCCAGAGTGGACAAACAAAAGAATTACTCAGATGTGAAAAGAAGGGGAATCTGTGTTCAGCAAGGTTATTTATTGTTAACCCCTTCTGGAGTCTTAGGCATCTACTTAAAAGGAATGTGCTGAAATTCTGCTACTATAAAGAAGAAATGGGAAACCCTTTTTTTTTTCCTTTTTTTTTTTGCCTAGACCTTTTTGGGAATTCAATAAACCTTTTTGGTAATTCAAGAGACTGAATTATTTATTCTCTAAAGTTTTCCTTCCCCAGTTTAGGGTTTTGATAAGGTGATAAATAGAGATTCAGACTTACTGGAGAGAGATGAAGGTCTCCCTTTACCTTTGAGCTTATTTAAGCTTATTTCAGTTACCTGAAATGTTTGAGCAAAGTCACAGATTTGGAAAGGTTTCCTCCTCACATGCCACTTCGTAGTTAAAACTGACAGTACACAAGAAGTTGAATTTTTTTGGTTGTTGTTTTCCATGCAGATCTCTCCCTGGGGGCTGTATTACCCAGTTAACCCTCCTAATTTGGGGGATGTTTTTTGCCAAGCTCGTTGTCTGATGTTTGCCCAACACGTGAGCTGCTGGAGGAGGCTGGCGTGGCTGTGTCTCTCCGTGGCTTTGTGGCCCTCTCCAGCTTTGTCTCACTCAAGGTTGAACAGCCGTTTTTATAACTTGGTGCTTTGCTTTTCCCTGTTGAAGTTTTGTTTTTTTGACTTCTGGGAACCACACCAAACCTCGAAGAGAAACTCAGTTAAAACCACCTGGTTTCACCTGCTTTCATAACAAAACAAGAAGAGGGGCAGAGTTCACTTTGGAAAGGTTTGAGGATCTTTGAAGGAGCTTTCACAGCATTTCAGGTGGTTGCAAGCACAGCAGGTACCTATTTTATCTGCTGGCACCCATTCACTTCTGCCCTCTGGCCGAGCAAGGGGTGATGCAGGGATGCAGTGGGACACTGAGACATGGTCCCTGAGCAGCCTTTGGAGAAACTGCTGTCCATGTGCCGAGGCCACCTCTGCTGCACACGACATGTGAAAATTTCCCATCTGTGTTTTCAAAAATAATACTTTTTTTAAAAAAAGCCGAGCCTGTCAGCAGCATCAAAACCAGAAAGCCAACAAGCAAGCCTTCTAAATTAAAACAGCACTCAAAAAGATCACTGCCATAAAGGCAGAGTAGCGCACGCTTTATCGGTCTCTATGTGTAGCTGCTCTTTTCCCCCTTTTTCTTCTGTTTTTCATTTCATGTTTTCTCCCAAGTGAGGGGCCTCACAGCCTATTCATAATAGGAGTTTTTCTAGTTGCAGGTAATCAGCATGGTTTCACGTTCGCTAGGGCCACGAGCTGCCGGGACAGTTAGCACAAGCACACCTCTGAGACAGCGATCTGCTCACGAGACTTTTTAGGTGCTTAAGCTAATTCTTAACCTCTGTTATTTGAATCATCTGCTCCCGGTCTCCTCCCTCCCCAGTCGCCTTTTCAATAATTAGGTCAAAATTGTATGAACAATGTCCCTCTCCTGGTAATTTTTGCTAAAATTATGTGACGTGCAGAGGAACCTCTTTGTTCCCAGGGGTGTGTTGATAGGACACATATTTGTGAATTTGAAGAGCAAAGGTGTGTATACGTGGATACTGCGTCGCTTCTCCCCAACATTCCTTTGTTGGATGGGCTGGAAGGTGCAGTTAATACTTAAGTATTGATCTAGCACTTCACAACTCAAGAAGTTGAAATATGCAGGGACTTGAAAGGCATTCACAGCTCACATTAGAAATGTGTGTAGTCAGCAAGTCAGATGCTTCCTAAACTCATCCAGGCTCAAGCCGAAATAAATAAATAGGGTGTGATAGAGCTTTGCCCACTTAGAAGAGTACAACTGGTACCTTTGGCTTTGTATGTAGATGCTGAGTACATTTTCCCTGTTTGGTGGTTTATTCTTGCTGTCCATCAGTGCAACGAAGTACAAACAGTATTGTCATCCCTATCTGTGCAAAACATAAAAGAATATAATGCAGCTATTTTAAATCATTCTGCTTAAAGCAAAGCTGTGCAAGGAGAAAAGAAGTTCTTACAAATTAAGGTTGTCGCTTCAGGTTATGTTTTCACATAGCCTACATGAAAGAGTTAAATTAGCCTGCACGGAGAAAAAGCAAGACTCTAGGAGGTAGATATCAACTCAATGAGAGACAGAGTGGGACTTGAACTCATTAACACTTTATTTTAAGGGATTGCCTACAACATCAATTATTTAGGAAGCAAACAGGGTCTACGTTGCTGTGTCGCATTATTAATACTTGGTAATGTCAATAAAATCCTACTTTCCTATAAAGTCCCACCAACAAGACACTATTGACTCACATGGCTATTTTACATTTCAAAAGCTGCTGAACAAAAAAAAAAAAGGAAAAAAAAAAAAGGAAAAGGTAATTTGTATTTGTATAGGATTTGTTGTAAATATGATTTACGAACAACATTTTTCAATTGTTATCATACCCGTTTTGAATGACCAAGCCCCGTTCCCCTGCGGGTTATTCATGTGCTCTGCCGTAATGAGAAATTTGGCAGATCTCATCTCTTTAGTACATCCTTGTGCCCACCATGAGCTGGGGATCATGTTCTGCCTTGTTTACAGCTGACAGTGTTATTATTCTCGTTAGGACTGTGCTTTCTTATCATATTGTTGTGTTGAGCGAGCCTTTTCCTCTCTGTTTGTGTTTCCTGGCAGGGCTTTTCTTCCTTTATTGACAGTTTGTAAAAATATGCATTAATTTGGAGTTTAAAGCATGTATCATGGTGTCTCTTTGCTGTGTTTGCTTGAAGTTGATTAATGATAGAACCTCACTTGGGGTCGTCCTCTGGAGAGTTGTCTCACAGGTTCTGCATGTTAACGAGAGACGCCGCACACACAGCGAGCGATGATTAGCCCAGCCTCCGCCAGCTCGGCGGGCTGACAAACTGCTGCTTTGCCTTTCGGGTGCTTATTCCTCTTATTTATCCAAAGATTGTATTAATCAACTTAATATGTCAGCTGAGAGCATTTTCTCTCGATCCTGAGATGGAAACCCTATCGAGGTGCTCCTCCCAGAGCGTTTTCCCAGGGAAGTTGAGCGCTGCCTGCCCAGCGTAGCCTTTACTTGGCTCCAGTGGCTGGTGCAGAAGTTGAGGGTCTTCTCCTTGATGACCTGGAGCTCTTAGGCTGGGCACACTGGGTCTGAACACCCAAACTGCCTCACCTTTCTGAGTCTCTTCAGTGCTCCAGAGCAAATCTGGACAAGACTATAAGATTCCTATTGACAGTATGACCAATGGAATGGAGCAGAGGGTGGAACCACACAATGATTACTTCAGCACTCGGTTTCTGTTAAACTTTGTGATACTTGGCAGTCACACCATCACAGTAGAGTCCTCTGTAATAGATTCAAATGATATTGTCTGGAAAACTGGGCCTAAAACAACTATTTTTGTTGACCCAAGCTGTCAAAACCAATTTTTAATGATCGACTTACTGATTGACCGTGTTTTTTGTTTTTCCAGGCACCCCGTGCATGTCAAAGAAGAACCGTTAGATCCAGATGAAAATGAAGGCCCACTATCCTTAGTGACAACAGCCAACCACAGTCCAGATTTCGATCACGACAGAGATTATGAAGATGAACCTGTAAATGAGGACATAGAATGAGTATGTCTTGACATCGTTATCCTGAGAATGAAGATTGGAAGAACACGTCAAACTTAGCTGTGAAATCTCTCCATTATTGTACAGTCTGGAGGATTCTCAGTCCACTTTGACAACTATGAAATATGTTGACTCTTAGTGCCATCAAGTATCCCATTTGGGAGTATTTTTGATTTTTCTACTTTTTGTTGAAAAAAGGAATTTGTACTCTGTGCATTGGATGGACTTGTTTGGTACTTGGGATTTTCCTCTCTTACATTCAACATCAGTGTTGTAAATTTGCTAAACTGATTCACTTGCATTTAGCAGCCAGCTGTGGACTGCAGGTCCTGCCAATTTTGGACACTTGAGGACATCAAACTGAGCATGTACACCTGAACTGCAGATCAAGTCTTTGCCCAGATTTTAAGGATTCCAATGGACAACATATTTGCACAGTACTGCATGTTGATTATCACTGCCTTTACTCCATAATTTTTTTTGTCGTTGTTTTTTTTGGTTGGTTTCCTTTTTTTTTTTCCGCTTCCATTTGGGATGGGGAAGGCCTGTGTGTGCACGTGTGTGGATATGTGTGTGTGCGTGTGAGCGTGTATATCGGGGAGGGGTTAAAAGAAAAAAAGAAAAATTATCCCAAACTTTTTAATGTATTGCTTTTATTCCCCCGCCCCACTTCTCCTCTACCATTTTAAGTTCTGACCTCAGGCCTCATCTGGGCCCAGGGCCTCTCGGAGGCTTCAACGTTTTCTGTACTTTGTGATGAATGTTAATAGGTGTTTTTATTATACGAAGCTGAATGTCATTGAATTGTTTGTAGTTTTTTTTCTGTCATTCATTCCAGTTTCCTTCAGATGCCACCATGTTTTCTTTAGCTATGGAAAACATTCCATTTCGGTGTCTCCTTTTTCCTGTCGTTGTTTTTTTGAAAAGGTCCCAAATGCTGCACTATACATGTGGAAGGGTTGTCCAACGGAGAGAGAGGAACGAAGTACTGCAAGAATGAGAATGAATGACAGATGAACATAGAAACACTGTAGGAAGCAACACAGATTCATTCCACAAAGCAGTATTTTTAATATATATTTTTTGTTGTTGTTTGGGGTTTTTTGATTTTTTTTGATTTTTTTTTTTTTTTGGCAGCAACGGTGAATATTAGCAAATGCCACAAAATTGAACAGCACAAAGAAACATATGCAGCACCAACAGAGTTCACTTTTATTAGAGAATGAAAAGGACAGTGGCAGGGTCTCGGTTGTTTTAACACGAGTTCTAATGGGTCAACAAATCTCTCTGGAATATCTATGATTACCGAGATGGGCACCTATACATTTATTATTAGAATTTTTTAATTTTTTTTTTCTTTTTTTCTTTTGGCATTTGCATTTGCAAATAGTGGTTGGAAAGATTACTTCATTAAATTGTTATTGTACATGGTGATGTTTCACGGTTAAACATCAGTTCAGGATTGCTTGGTGGCATTAATCTGTTTGAATACAAATTAGATTTCAGATTGAACTTGTTACGGGAGTTAATAAGGACGGAGCCCCACTAATGCTAAAGTGTTAATTTTCAGCTGTGCAAATCCAGTACTGCAGTTAGGATTGTTATGCAATATTACACCAGCCAGTATGGAAACCTCGCCGTAGGAGACGGCGGATCTAGGAGAGAATTCGCGCCGGGGCTTGTTAGGCAAAACTGGCAAAGCTCTTCAAAGCAAACACGACATACAAAATTTGTTGCCATAGGTCAGTAAACCTCGGTCACCAAACACCTAAAACGTTTTCATTCTGCAACCACTTTTCCGTCACTCATTTATTTATGTAGGACTGTAGCTTTTTTTTTTATTATTTCAAAAAGCCTTTCAGAGCTTAATTTATATTCTTCTTTGTACCTTTTTTTTTTTTTTCCTAAAATTACCAAAGATATTACACAAAGGTAAATTATGTTCTCTGTTATATGCTTTATCTTATGAAGCCAAATATCCTCTTATTGTTGATCAAAAGGAGGTTGAAGAATTTAGAGGGAAATGACAAGATGTGGGCTATTGCTAACCTGAGAGGGAAACTGCTCCTTTATTCTAGAAAATTTAGAAGGCCAAGTAGATGTCTGAACCAAAGTTGTTACTTTTTATTTGCAATTCTTTACAGTGACCAAAACAAAAGTCTGTAAAAGAAGAATCAAGGAGAGCTTTTGAGGCTAAAACTAGGAATCAGTGTTACTGGTGGAGCTGTGAGAAGGGAGCTGGAGAAAGCAAAGACACAGTTATTTCGCGGAAAATTAGAGGATCAGATAAAGGAGACAGTTTAATAAAATACAGAAGAGAACAGAAAAGCTCCCACAATTTAACTGGACCACATAATAGTATTTCTAGAATTAAATGGAAAAAAAAAAAATAATTGTTTGGCCTTTGGTTCTACAGATCGTGTGCCACTTCTGTTTCGGGACTGTGCTAGGATGACTGCTTTAATTTTGGTTGATCTTGGCACATTTGCTCAGTTTTGTTTAGCTTTTGGTCAGCGTTTTTCATAAGGAAATAACACTCCTGTCCACTCATAAGCTTTGGTACAAGAAATTTTATTGGCAGTTACTTTTATAAAACTCAACTCTGCTTTCTGTTTCAAAAGACAAAAAAAAAAAAAAAAAAAAAAAAAAAGAAAAAAAAAAGAGAGAAAAGAAAAAAAAAGGGCAGTCTGTGGTCATTTGAAACTTTTTTTTTTCTTTTTTTTTTTCTTTTTCTTTTTTTTGTTTAAATTATATCCAGGCAGCTTCGTGACGTGCCGGCGGTAGCCAGATGGGGTTCATGAGAATTGAACCTCGTGCTTCTAAACTGAGTGGTTTGCTGGTTAGTTTGGTATTCAGAAGGGGATAAAAATCCGGTAGATTAGTTCATTCTCAGCATGTGTAGCTAGACATGAGTAAAAGATAACAGCATGAGAAACTGTTAGTACGCATACCTCAGTCCAAACTGTTAGGGAATGAGTAAATAAAAAATACATTTCACTCAGTTGCACTTAGTTGTATGTCTTGCATGCTTAGTCTAAAGACTGTAGCAAAAATTAAAAAAAATTAAAAAAAAAAAAGAGAAAAAGAAATAAAAAATTAGATTTTAACATATCTGGCAGGTGTCGCAGCCTTGCAGAAGAACCAACTGAAAAATCTCAGGCTTTACATCAAGCAAACTTCACTATGATTTTTACAATTCTGATTCTGTATCCCTTTGGATATACAGTTGCTTCTTTAGGGAGGGGTTTATTATGTTGTACATATATATCCCACTGTGTCTGTGTGAGCCTTTGTCTTTCGGGGGGAGGGTGGGGAGGGAGGAAAAGGTGGAAAGGTCCTTTTTTTTTTAGATATCATTCCTCAAAAGGAATAAATGCAGACCTGTTTGTCAAAACACCTTTTGCTTTTTGTGCAACTGCTTTATATTAACTATACTAAAAAAAAAAATAGCTTTGAAAAAAAAAAAACTACTGTATGTAATGGAATTGCAGAATACGCTGCACATGTATTTTATTTAGTTATCCTTGCTTTAAGAATATTGGATGACATTTGCTGACATGTGGGAGAAAATCCCTGACTTTTTTTTCAGCTTTTAAATTGTAACATAGTTGACAGATTTTTTTTTTTTCTCCTGTTATCATTGATCGAAGCGTTTTTGTACAGTTTTTGTGTTTAAGCTGGTTTTTTTTGATACTTTCCCACCCCTTCTGTTATCTTACCACTGCCTTTTCTGGCTGTCTTAAAAAAAAGTTCATATATTTGAAAGGAAAAAAAAAAAAAATCATTAAAAAAAAAAAAGAAATGTTTTTCTCCTGCTGCAGTAAATATTTTGCATGATGAATTCCAGGGTCACACTTTCAAAGTTTATCAGTGAAGTAGTGATTAATAATGGGGAGTGTCAAACTATTGAACTTTTGTATAAAAAAAAAAAAAAAATACAAACTTTACAAGGTGCCAAGATGTAAAGACAATTTGTTACATGTTTTTTTTCTCAAAGAAAAGCGTACATTATGAAAGTAGTACCATGTATCAGGTAAATCGCTGTCAGGAATGAGAGTCAAAGCCTTCCTTGTCCACAAAAAAAAAAAAAAAAAAAAAAAAAAAAAAAAAAAAAAAAAAAAAAAAAAAGTTTGTAAATGTAAAACCTGTTAGGTTTCTGCATTCAACTAGAAGTGAAATGAAAAATCAAGGCTTATGTAGAATAAGTGACCACAAAAAAAACAATATTGAAATATGACCTTTTTTTGATTCTCACTCGCAAGAGTCCCGCTGCAGGTCCTGCACCTCCCCTCTCCCAGAGCTCCCGCTTCGGGAAGAGACCGGGGCAGGGATTCTGGTTCTACAAATATTACAGATCATTAGATATTTTATATATATACATACATAAATATATATATATATAAAGTTTTTTAAAATAATTTTGAACTATTGTAATTTTCAGATCGCCAATAATCTCACATTCATTATAGCATGGAAAAAAAAGAAGTGTTTAAACTCTTTTGAAATCCTTTGGTACCTTTGGTTAATGAACTCAGAGTGAGTTTTTCGATGTTTCAGAAGTCATTTAGCATTCTATAGTCTTGCGAGGTGCATTTGCAGGTAACGACTGCATTTTAATGGGCCCAGAACAGGTAACAAAAGTATCTTCTACCCATAAGCCTTGATGAAAATGGTACAGTCCCGACTGTTAGCATGGTGCTTCGTGTGTATGTGCTGCCAGTAACAAGATTTTTTTTTTAATTTTTTTTTTTTTTTGATAAGGCATAAAAGAAACTCATTCCTTACATCAACTGTAATTCCATCATTCCATGTCTGTTGATACAGACAATAAAAAATGTTGTGTAGTCAGTACTAATTACTGACATTATAGCATTCTCAAATGCAATAAAAATGCTGGTTGTTCACACTGGTAATGCGAGTTGCCATGTCCTAAGTTTTTGTTTTGTTTTCCACCCCTGATGACTCCCGTGTCACATCCCCTGAGGCCCCAGACCCCAGCGCTGATCCGTGGAGCAGCTGGTTGCATCTCACCCATGTCCCAGCATGGTCATGGACAGTCTCGTCGCTCTCCTTAGGTCTCCCCCAACCGCATCCAATTCCAAGATATTTTAGTGACGGTTTCACGACCGGTCTGGACAGGGCAGTCATTGATGCTTGAGCACTGGAAGAGAGGGAGATGCTGTCATCAAAAAATTCCTCCACTTTTCCAAGAAAGTCCATCAGCGTTTGACCATTTGGGTCACAGGGAGTTGAGGGCATTTGCTTTCTCATTGGACTCCAAGGGGAAGGGGTGAAGGAAGGGGTTTGGGTCCTCATTGTGCAGACCTTTCAAGTGTGGTGTCCTCCTGGGAACCACGCTGCTGGGTTTGGTAGGAAGAGCTCCACACCTTGTACCTGTGCAAAAGGGGGTTTGGAGCATCAACTGCTTGGTCCACAAAACCATGAGGAGCAAAGTCCCAAGTCATGCTGTCACCTGAGACAAACTTTAAAGGAAAAACTCAGCTTCTTTTCTTTCGAGTAAGCACACATTTATTTTCTTCATCAAGTTTTATAAAGAAAAATAAAATGTTTAATAACTAGCATTAGCAGCAAACTGAAATTTCAGAGGAGAGATTTTTCATGAATAATTCATTAAAATTTCACATCTGCAAGATTAGTCATCCAAATAAAATGCTAATGTCAAAAACATGCACCGTCTATAATATTCTCATCAAGAAATCTTTTTGCATATAATGATAAATGCTTAAATTAGTACAAATGATTTTATAAAAATATTCTATCATAAAATTATACCAGATAACTACTTTTTTTTTTGGGGGGGGGGGTGAATCTTTGCACACTCATTATAATGTGTCTCAAAATGGTATTGACTGGTAGATTTTAATAATCAAAATATAAAGAGTAAAAGTAGGGTTTGGTTCTGTGTTGCACTTTTATCACTAGTGAGGTTGTAGTGA